GAAAATTCAAATGACCAAATAACAGAAATATAAGCAAACCTACTGGTAATCAGTGACACACAAAATAAGACAACAATAAGATACCACCAAGCAGATTGGAAAAAAAGTTTAAATCTGACAACATTAAATGATGGTGAGGCTGTAATATATGGGTACAGTCATAACTGTTGGTAGGGATAAAAGTTGGAACAGCCCTAAAAATGAAAATGCTCTTTGACCTAACAATTCCACTCTTCCATTTCTACACATCTACACACACAGAAGGAGATCTATACAAGGATATTCACTGTAGCAGATATTTTTATTTATTTATTTATTTATTTAGAGACAGGGTCTCACTGTGTCACCCAGGCTGGAGTGTAGTGGTGTGATCTCAGCTCACCGCAGCTTTGACCTACCTCCTAGGCTCAAGCAACCCTCCCACCTCAGCCTCCTGAGTAGCTGGGACTACAGGAATGCACCACCATACCCAGCTAATTTTTTGGTATTTTTTATAGAGATGAGGTTTCATCATGTTGCCCAGGCTGGTCTCAAACTCCTGGACTCAAGTGATCCTTGGCCTCCCAAAGAGCTGGGATTACAGGCGTGAGCCACCACACTTGGCCCCAGAGATTTTTTTTTTCTTTTTTTTTTTTGATACAGGGTCTCACTCTGTCACCCAAGCTGGAGTGCAGTGGTGCAATCAAGGCTCACTACAGCCTTGAACTCCTGGATTCAGGTGATTCTCCCATCTCAGCCTCACAAGTAGCTGGGACTAGATGCACTTGCCACCACCTCGCTAATTTTTTGTATTTTCAGTACAGATGGGGTTTTGCCATGTTGTCCAGGCTGGTCTCAAACTCCTGAGCTCAAGAGATCTGTCCACCTTGGCCTCCCAAAATGCTGGGATTACAGACATGAGCCACCGTGCCTAGCTGCAAAGATTTTTATTAGTGAAAACCTGGAAACGATCTAATGTTCATCAATAGGGCAACGGATAAATAAAATGTGGTACCTACAGGCAAAATATTACTATAATCAACAGGAATGTACCAAACCTACTCAGTATCAACATGGACAGATATTTTTAAAAACAATATTAAATATTTTCCATGGATCTGTAAATATGAAAGATTACAAGACCATCTAAAAGAACACACACTAAACTCATAATAGTAGTTGCTTCCAGGGATGTAAAAAGGAGATGAACTGGTAGCAGTGATTAATTTTTTAAAGAAGAGAAAAAGGTAGGGGAAAGAAACTGAGCAAATAAACCAAATCTAACAATGGTTAATTCTGGATGGTGGGAATATCATAGAGCAGGGGTTGGCAAACTATGGCCTGTGCACCACGTCCAGCCCACCATCTGTTTTTGTAAATAAAATTTTACTGGAACATAGCCACGCTCACTCTTTCATGTATTATTTATGGCAGCTTCTGCACTACAATGGCAGAGGTGACAGAGTCTACAGTTGCAACCAAAGAACCTACAAAGTCTAAAATATTTACTATCTAGACTTTTAAAGAAAAAGTTTGCTGGCCGGGCGCAGTGGCTCAAGCCTGTAATCCCAGCACTTTGGGAGGCCGAGATGGGCGGATCACGAGGTCAGGAGATCGAGACCATCCTGGCTAACACGGTGAAACCCTGTCTCTACTAAAAATACAAAAAACTAGCTGGGCGAGGTGGCGGTGCCTGTAGTCCCAGCTACTCGGGAGGCTGAGGCAGGAGAATGGCGTAAACCCGGGAGGCGGAGCTTGCAGTGAGCTGAGATCCGGCCACTGCACTCCAGCCCGGGTGACAGAGCCAGACTCCGTCTCAAAAAAAAAAAAAAAAAAAAAAGTTTGCTGAGTTTTACAGATTTTCCTCTTTGTAGTTTCTGTATTCTTCACCTTTCCCAAAATTTTAAAACCATTTAAGTGACTTGAGGGAGATTCACAACAAAGTTCTCAGAGAAACCAAGAAAAGATTCTAAAACTGTCAGGTTTGTTTTTTTTTTTTTTTTTTTTTCATGTTGTAAGAGCACTACATTATTTATTATTATGCTTTTTATAGACTAAAGTAAAAATATTAATCAAACCTATTCTGTAACATAGTTTAAATGACTGGTGAATTATAGAAATACTCCACATAGGGGCCGGTCACGGTGGCTCATGCCTGTAATCCCAGCACTTTGGGAGGCCAAGGCAGGTGGATCACAAGGTCAGGAGATCGAAACCAATCTGGCTAACACAGTGAAATCCTGTCTCCACTAAAAATACAAAAAATTAGCTGGGCGTAGTGGCGGGCGCCTGCAGTCCCAGCTACTCGAGAGGCTGAGGCAGGAGAATGGCGTGAACCCGGGAGGCAGAGCTTGCAGTGAGCTGAGATCGGGTCACTGCATTCCAGCCTGGGGGACAGAGTGAGACTCCGTCTCAAAAAAAAAAAAAAAACAAATACTCCACATAGGAAAAACATATATAGGGCAGCTACATGAAATATGAGGTATAGGTTCCTAAAAAACTAAATAATTCAAAACTAACATAATTCAAGACTAATTATCTCATATATATAGAGGAAAGAAGCATTCTCAGAGTACATAAATCTATAATTAATATAGAATGTTTTTATGAATACATGTTAATACTAATATATAATAATACATTAATATCTTGATTATACAATTGTGTGGTTAATAATTAATGTACAACACAGTGATTTATTATGTAATTTTAAAATATAATTTAATGCACAATACATAATATTCAAATAAATACCAAGTTAACTTAATGACAGTTCATTATCTAATGTGGTATGCTGCTTGAAAATAATTAAGGAGAAATTACTATCATCTTCCAATAACACAAATAATGAGAGGGTTACGAGACACTAAATTAGGACAAGCTATCTCTCCACATTTCAGTGAAGGCTGGTCTGATTCCTTGGAAGACTTTTGCTAAAGAATGAATCTAATGTAGCTTGAGAGTTTTTCTTTCTCTTTTTTTTTCACTGAGGATTTCTTGGTATGCAGACACATTTTTCATCTTTAGATTTGCCACCACGAACAGCAATCCACATTTAGCTCACCTTCAAAAATAGTAATTGCTGCTGAAATATGGTCAAAAGCCTATGGCAGTCACTTTACTGTCAGTTGTGCCCAAGGCCCGGCTTGACTGCTAGGACCCTCTTCCAGCTGCTTTTATTTTTCTAATTCTAGCAAGACTTCCTTTATTAATCCATGGGGAATAACCCAAGCAAATATTCAATATCCTCCTTCAGGAACTCTATGCAAATCTACCTTCTGTTCTACTTGCACAGATTCCTTATTAGCAGGTGTTATGTTGTTATGTTGTCTTCCAAGTTAAAGCCTCTTTAAATTATGGTAAGGCTGAAATGTTTTGATAGCTTTGGAGTTAGCAGATACAGCTTGCCGGCTCATTTTTATATTCCTAAAACCTTGGTGAGCTTTAAAATTGGAGAGCCAGCCATGACTTGTAGTAAACCTTTTGTCTCACTGTCACCTCTTTTCAAATCAAAATCAGAATACTCATGCCTTAGCATAGATGATAGATTGCCCTCAGGGGTGCATTATGGCAGCATTGATCTTGCAACTTGTGTTACCAGAACTTTTTCCATTTATTCCATTATCAATGCCTGGTTATAATTTTTGTGAACTAAGAGGCATACCTGCTTTAATACTGCTTTCGGTTTTTTGAGCACTACCACTAATATTCTGCAGGGTACACTCTCCTAAATTAATAGCATGAGATATCACAGCAGTGGTTTGGTCATCTTCATAGATTTTTTTTATCACATCTAACTTTTGTTCTAAAGTTATTAAATTTGGGGCACATTTTTTAGCACTAGTACCACCACTTAATATAATGGCATTTATATTATATGATATGATATGAAAAAGAGTTTTAATTATCTCAAGAGCAAATTTAAGACAGCAGCACAAGCTGGGCGCCATCGGCTCATGCCTGTAATCACAACAGCTTGGAGGCTGAGGCGGGAGGATCACTTGAGGCCAGGAGTTTGAGACTAGCCTGGGCAACATAGCAAGACTGAGACCCTATCTCAACAAAAGAAAAAAACAAAACAAGCTGGGCGTGGTGGCAGACACCTGTGGTTCTAGCTCCTCAGGAGGCTGAGGTAGGGGATTGCTTGAGCCCAGGATTTCAAGGTTGCAGTGAGCTATGATCATGCCACTGCACTCGAGCCTGGGCAACAAAGCAAGACCCTGTCTCAAAAGAAAAAAAAAAAAAAAAAAAAAAAGGCATAACAGTCATCAAAAACATTAACCCAAGAAATGATACAGTATCATGTGATACTAATAAAGAATGATGGGAATTTTGTTTTCCTGCTAAAGTGATGCTGATACAAGGCAACAATGCCATAATTTGCAGTCAGCCTGCCAGACTTGAAAGTATGCATTTCTTGAATATTTCTTTTAATTTTGAGAAGTCTCACAATATTTCAAATTTGAGACATAAAGTGAAAGTCTAAATGTATTTTTACTTTGCACTATTTTCAGTCTCACATAATTCAAAGTTGCATAAAACAGGACTACACTGAACTTTCGAAACTTAAAAGGAAAATACTTGAATATAGTAAAAGAGAAAAATAATGTAGTTTTGTTATTTCCAACCAAATAGAATTAACAAGAATTTAAATAAATTAAAGAACCTGAATATAAATAATAAAATAAATCAAGAATGCATTCTTACTAATGATCTAAGATTAAACTGTAAGATTCAAAACAAAAGCGCACAATATATCACTCCACTTTTTTAAAAACTAAGCTTGCCACTATGAACAGCAATCCACGTTTACATCATCTTCAAAAACAGTAATTGTTGCTGAAATATGGTCAAAAGCCTATGCCAGTCACTTTACTGTTAGTTGTGCCCAAGACTTAGATTAATGACTAGGACCCTCTTCCAGCAAAAAGAAAAGCATTCGGATATATTAGAATGCTATATCCAAAGTGAAAATAAGCCCAAGTGGCATTATCAAGAAAAGTATTAACAATCAAACTCACATCTTGAATGATCTTTGCTGCCTCTTTAGAAACTGCACCTGTTGTAAATTAAAATAAACATTATTATCCTTAGAATATACAGAAGTAAACACTGAAACTGAGAAGTTACTTTCCTCCCATTAAGCTGGGCTAGAGTCTAAACCAGAATTTCTCAGAAACATGGCACAAGGAAACTGCATCAGTATCACCCAGGGTGCTTAATATTGGTAAGGACTCATGGGCCCCAACCCCATCCAACTGTATTAGAATCTCTGGCAGTAAAGGAGTAGGAATATTAAAATAATTTGGGCTCCTAAAAAAATATCACTTCCTGGGGAGTGTCTCTGAACCTTCTATGGCTCAAGAGCCTGCCTGATTAAAAAAAAAAAAAAAGAAAAAAAATTAGCCCGGTGTGGTGGCCTGTAATCCCAGCACTTTGGGAGGCCAAGGTGGGAAGCCAGGAGCTCCAGACCAGCCTGGTCAACATGGTGAAACCCCATCTCTACCAAAAATATAAAATTATCTGGGTGTGGTGGCAGGCACTTGTAAACCCAGCTACTCAAGAGGCTGAGACAGAAGAATTGCTTGAACCTGGGAGGCGGAGGTTGCAGTGAGCCCAGATTGCACCATTGCACTCCAGCCTGGGTGACAGAGTGAGACTCCATCTCAAAAAAAAAATTAAAAATTGAAAAAACAAAAATAAAGACACTTCCTTTCCCATCCACACCACCTTGCTTGCTACCCACTCCCCTGAGGCGGGGGTGGGGGGGCCGGCGGGAGGGGGTGCATGTTCCCCTACATCACATAAAGAAAGGTATTACCAGTAAGAACTACTGGCCAATGGCTCACACCTGTAATCCCAGCACTTTGGGAGGCCAAGGCAGGTGGACCACCTGAGGTCAGGAGTTTGAGATCAGCCTAGCCAACGTGGTGAAATCCCGTCTCTACTAAAAATACCAAAATAGCTGGGCATGGTGGCAGGTGCCTGTAATCCCAGCTACTCGGGAGGCTGAGGCAGGAGAACTGCTTCAGCCCAGGAGGCAGTGGTTGCAGTGAGTTGAGATCGCGCTATTGCACTTTAGCCTGAGCAACAAGAGTGAAACTGTCTCAAAAAAAGAGAACTACTTAGGCTAGACAACACTCACTTCTATGGCTTAGCCAAATGTCATTATATCAAGTCATACCTTTTAAAACACTGTTAGTGTTCCCTGTAGATAAGGCAGCAGGTATTTTTGCCAATGACACCACACTGGTTATAACTGGTGTTGTATCTGTCCTTGCAGAAGGGAGCTCCATCACAGCAGTTTTCGCTTTAGAAATATTTACTGATTAAAATAAAAAGTTAAGACCTGGAATAAGCAAAAGGGTCTCTCTCTCATACACACTCATACTCACACACAAAACCCTGTTTAGTAACTAGGTTTTCAAGAAGCAATACAAATATCTGATTCTGTGTAATGTTAGGTTGGGTGACTCTGGTCAGATTAGTGTTCATTAGGACTTAAAGAGAGTCCAATTCTGTAAAATTATAAACCTCAAATGACATTTAACAGGTAGAAATACAGGTGTTGGATACAGTGGCACCAGCCTGTAATCGCAGCTACTTGGGAGGCTGAGACAGGAGGATCACTTAAGACCAGGAGTTCAAGACTAACCTGGGCAACATAGCAAAACCTAGTCTCAACAACAACAACAACAAAAAGGTATTAGCTTCAGGATTCACTGGGCTGTTCTATTAGTAACTATTAAAACTCCTAGACCTAAGCGTGCATCAAAAAAAAACTTAACATGACAATTTTTATAAATAAGTTAATGAAGGAGCTGTCCAACCCCATAACACTGGTTTTCTTAACCCATATTATAAAATGAATATGCTACTACCAACTTGACTGGTTCTGGGGAATGGAAGGCTAACACAAAAGATTAGCACAAGGCATTTATGATTAAGGTAATCATTAATTAGGCTGCAAAGGCAGGCAATGGCCAGACTGCAAGGAGCCAAAGCTCTGTCAATTAGGTAGCACTCCAGGCTTTGATCAGAGAACATACCAAGCGGCTTTTTTTCTTCTGAGAGGCAGAATATCGTTCTATTGCCCAGGCTGGAGTGCCATGGTGTGATCTCGGCTCACTGTAACCTCCGTCTCTCGGGTTCCAGTAATTCTCATGCCTCAGCCTCCTGAGTAGCTGAGATTACAGGCACACACCACCACAGCTGGCTAATTTTTGCATTTTTAGTAGAGATGGGGTTTCACCACGATTACCAGTCTGGTCTCGAACTCCTTGCCTCAAGTAATTTGCCCGTCTCAGCTTTCCACAGTGCTGGGATTACAGGTGCGAGCTACCGCGCCCGGCTACCAAATGTTTTTAATCTAATACTGAGAAAGAAATATTTAGGAGAGCTACTGTATGAATACACCATGGATCTATCTACTCACCTGAATATTCTGACCACATTAGCTGTCCTACTTGCAAAATTATTTTATTCTTAGCCAGGATCAACTTTGCTACCCATGTAGAACCGGTCTATTTTGTATTTTCTGAGATAATTAATGTGTTGTTCTTTTCTTCTTGCCTATAAGCAAGCTCTGAATCAAATTTTACACTAGTCACAGCAACTGTATTAACTATACTCTCCCTTTGTTTGCCCTGATTTTCTATTTTTATTTCTGGTTTATGAACTAAATAGTATATATCCCTAGTTTAAGTTATTTATGGACAGATACATTCAATCAAAAGCAATCAAATACAAGTTTCCGGCCGGGTGTGGTGGCTCACACCTGTAATCCCAGCACTTTGGGAGGCTGAAGCGGGTGGATCACGAGGTCAGGAAAAATTAGCCAGGCTTGGTGGCTGGCGCCTGTAGTCCCAGCTACTCGGGAGGCTGAGGCAGGAGAATGGTGTGAACCCAGGAGGCGGAGCTTGCAGTGAGCCGAGATTGCGCCACTGCACTCCAGCCTGGGCGACAGAGCGAGACTCCGTCTCAAAAAAACAACAACCAAAAAAACAAGTTTCTTATAAAAATTAGTGCAGATACATTATTGGCCTTTTGCTGTGCTTGACTATCAGAGCAAAAAGTATTATAATCACTTTTCCCTCAAGGGGAAATCTTAAAGACTTCTTAAAGAAAAATTTAAGGAAATTCAGGCTATTTGAATCCAATGAAATTTTGTTTTTATTATATTATTTATAACTGTGTGTGCTGATAGTGTCCTAGCACTGACATAAAAATCCCATTAGCTAAGTTTAATTTTACCTTTATTTTGTGGAAGAGAGTCATTCATAATTTGCTGATGACAAAACTCCAAGACACAAAATAGGTTACAGAAATGTTTAATGTTGCCTCGCCACTTTATGGACTCACTTAGTTTACCCTGTCGTTTACAACCATCACACTTGGCCATCTGAGAAAGAAACGTTGGACAAGATAGGCTTAAAACTATAAAATAATGAAAAGATAACATTAATCATAAAAAGAGGCACTATGAACACAGGATATATGAGTCAGTTGAGACTACAAAATGTAAGGTTCTTACCTTAAAATACTGATTTTATTTAATTCTTTGTTTTATATAGATGCCCTAAATCAAGATAATATAAAAATTGTGGCCAGGCATGGCAGCTCACATCTGTAATCCCAGTATTTTGGGAGGCCGAGGCAGGCGAATCACAGAGTCAGGAGTTCAAGACCAGCCTGACCAACATGATGAAACCCCATCTCTACTAAAAATACAAAAATTAGCCGGGCGCGGTGGCACACGCCTGTAATCCCAGCTACTCAGAAGGCTGAAGCAGGAGAATTGCTTGAACCCGGGAGGCAGAGGTTGCAGTGAGCCAAGATCGCGTCACTGCACTCCATCCTGGGCGACAGAGTGAGACTCTGTCTCAACAAAACAAAACAAAACAAAAAAATGCTCTTGTTTTCAAAATTACCAATAAGGGAGTCTAAAGATAGGTTCATAACTGGGCGTGGCGGTGCGCACCTTTCCCGGTTACTCGGGAGCCTGAGGCAGGAGAATCGCTTGAACCCACGAGGCGGAGGCTACAGGGAGCCAACATAACCCACTGATCACGCCACTGCACACCACCCTGAGCAACAGAACAAGGTTCTGTCTGGCAGTGGGGTGGGGGGTGGGCAGCGTGGGGTGGGGGAAGAAAAGATACACAATGAAAAAAATAAGTAAAAAAAAAATAAAGATAGGTTCAACTTTAAAAAAATCAAGCAGCAGCTTACAGCAGTTGATATAATATGGGCTTTGGAGTCATAAAGGTTTTGATTCATTCAGCAAATATTTAATTAGACATCCTTTGTCTTAAGCACTGTGATTGGCCCTAATTATAGAATCATGAAAAATAGATTACCCTCCCCCAACAATAAAATTCTATTTTGGGGGTGAGGTAGACAAGCAAACAGTGATTTCACCAGAGTGTTATAGATGCTGTCTTCCTGTCCCCTATCAGCTTCCTCGAGAGCATATTACTTAACTTCCCTGGACCTCTCTCCTTTTTCTTATTTATAAAATGGCAATAATATTCTTAGCTCTTGGGACTATGGTAGGATTAAATGAAATGACACTTACGGAGCACCAGACATGTATTAGTGGTTCAATTAACTGCAGCTACCATTGTTAGCCTTTCAAAAAGTTAATCTTTTTTAAAATGAGGTAGGAATAGTTGCCAGCTATTGTCCTTTGACCTATGAAGTGAGACAAGGTCTGACTTCAAATTCTTCAGAGTAACCTGAATGAGAGAGCCACTTCAGGCAACATTATGTGAAGTTCTAACCTGAAAGAAGTCAAATAAGGGCAATGTGCCTTATAAGAAGGCAAAAATAAAAGGGCCATATCCAATCAACAACAAAGTCTGCAGAAATCCTATACTTTTTATCCCAAAGAGTTCATGTTTATATTCAACTGAATTTTTGTTATAGCCCATAACTTATTTTATCCAGTGCTAAACACCAAATTTTTCTTGACATAATTTGAATATATTTTAAATAGAAAACAATTTGCACTGATTTCAGAAAGCCAAAAAAAGTATATTATCACCTTTACCTGATAAAACAGAACCGTAAATTTGGACATACAATCTTCACAACAAAACTCTTCTAACTTGCCCTCCAATCGGTTTTCTACCAAATTTGGGGATGTCTGTGAACAATAGCTGCACATCTTACAGTAGTTTCCCCATCGTTCTCCAAAGTCACGGGCAGATAGGAATTTGCAAACTGAGGATCAGAGGGATGAAAGGAAGAAAGATCAAATTTACATTAACTGAGGAGGTATAAGAAGTTTCTGTGGTCTTCTAATACTTACACAATTATTTGCCTCTAGATTACAAGACAGTCTCTATATTCACAAACCAAACTTATACCACCTTTTATTTCATTTTATTTTATTTTTTGAGACAGAGTCTCACTCATTTTTCCCAGGCTGAAGGGCAGTGGCATGATCTCAGCTCACTGCAACCTCCGCCTCCCGGGTTCAAGTGATTCTCCTGCCTCAGCCTCCTGAGTAGAGTAGCTGGGATTACAGGCGCCTGCCACTACGCCCAGCTAATTTTTATATTTTTAGTAGAGACAGCATTTCGCCATGTTGGCCAGGCTGTTCTAGAACTCCTGACCTCAGGTGATCTGGCTCACCTCAGCCTCCCAAAATGCTGGGATTATAGGCGTGAGCCACTGCGCCTGGCCCCCACCTTTTAAATATACTCTAAATATTAGGCCATTTATATTCAGAAACATCAGAGATATAAAAGTTTTTTAAGCCAAGAAGCAGCAACTATTTAAGCTCTTCTTTACAAATGAGTGCGAGAACAAAAAGATCTCTGATGTCATAGCTAAACTTATAAAGAGATTTTCTTTATTAATACCACTGATCTAATCATTTTTACAGTTTTTTATTGCAATTATTGCAACATTTAAAAAGACTGACTTTCGTCCATGCACAGTCGCTCATGCCTGTAATTGCAGCACTTTGGGAGGCCGAGGCGGGAGTATCACCTGAGCTCAGGAATTCAAGACCAGTCTGGACAACATGGTGAAACCCCGTCTTTACAAAAAATAAAAAAAATTAGCCAGGCATGGTGGCATGCTCTTGTAGCTTCAGCTACTTGGGAGGCTGAAGTGGGAGGATCCCTTAAACCAGGGAGGCGGAGATAACAGTAAGCCAAGATCATGCCACCACACTCCAGCCTGAGTGACAGGGCAAGACCTTGTCTCAAAAAAATAAATAAATAAAAATAATAAATAAAAAGATTGACTTTAAAGTGAATTAACTATAAACACAATTCAAAAAAACTTTTTTTTTTTTTGAGACAGTGTTTCACTCTTGTCGCCCAAGCTAGAGTGTAATGGCATGATACCGGCTCACTGCAACCTCTGCCTCCGAGGTTCAAGCAATTCTCCTGCCTCAGGCTGCCAAGCAGCTAGGATTACATGCGTGCGCCACCATGCCCAGCTAATTTTGTATACAGATGGGGTTTTTTAATAGAGATGGGGTTTCACCATGTTGGTCAGGCTGGTCTTGAACTCCCAACCTCAAGTGATCCACCCGCCTCAGCCTCCCGAAGTGCTGGGATTACAGGCGTGAGCCACAGTGCCAGGCCTCCAAAATACTTCTAATTATACCTCATAAGACAAAAAGAATGTGAAAACTAATTGTGGCTTAATTGCCCAAGTCATCATGAATTATAACAACCCATGCTCTGTGGACAAACCAACTTTGTCTTTACCTTCACTACAGAATGGCTTGTCAACCCCTGAGAATCGCACAGTCTCCTTTATAATTTTCTGTAGTTTACAGTAGTCACACATTGCCACAACTTTATTTTTCTTCTTGTATTCATCAGAGCAATTCTTGCCACAAAACAGAAACATTTTACCCTGCAGAAAAACAAGAGTCATTAAGAGCTAACTAAACAGTTGCTTTATCTTTAAGAAGTCATTTTCATGTCAAAGCAAACTGAGTGTTCAAAATTGAAAACACAAAAGTGTTTCCACTGGATAAGTTTATATTCAATCCCTTTCATGATCTCTCTTTACCTTGTAGAAAAGAAGTTCTGGTTTTGTGGCAAACAGATGATTACACTGCTGACACTTGAGTTTAACAACTGTATGGGTTAAAGCAACTTGCTGGGATTGTTCAGCAAGAGGTTGGAGGCTGGCTGCAGCAGAGCCACGGATGGAGCTGGAGGAAACGGCAGAGGTGTTACCTCCTCCTGTTGACACCGCTGACCTGGAGGAGGGCGGGCTTACAACCACTTGGCCCTGAGACAGGGGCATCGCTGAAGAGTTTGTTCCTTTTGGCTTGTTAAATACATTCTGAATGAAAACAAATAAGGTAAAGATTTTATCAAGTGAGAAATAAGATAACTTGGTACTTTTCATGTCCTCACTTTAATAAATCAAGTCCCCCACAAACATTTTTTAAAATTTTCTATGTCACGGAAAGAGTTTAAATGGCATACTTCCACAATAAAAGGACTGAGAAATACAACATTAAAAGGTCAAGGACTAGAATTCAGGCTTTCCTGACAAAGACCTCTAATGTATGCCTCTAATAAATTAGAGCAGGCTTCTCCTTCCCCCCAAAACCTCCCCCTACCTGCACTCCCATTATCAACCAGCTTCTGATGGCTATTAAGACACAACAGCCACCAACAGTCTCTTTCTCCCTAATGCCAGGGATACTGCATCAGGCATGTTCCTACCCCGGAGATTACTAAACTCTACTCTGTGTGTGTATTGCAGAGAGGGAGGAGAAAATGGGACAAGTGGATGCTTACAATTCCATGCCAGGAGTCACTAGGTATCTGACACAGGATGAGAGAGGAAGGGGCATGTGAATCCCATCAGGCTACTGTTCTTCACCATACCACCTACCCAAACCATAATCCTAGCTTCCATCTTTGTGAAGGGGAGAGACCCAAGGGAGAAAGTGGGAGGGAATGACAGTTTAGGCAAGTATCCTAAATAAAGAAGAAACTGCTAAGACCCAATATCTGGGTTCAGATATTTTATAGAAATGACCTGGTTGGGACCCTGGATGAAACAAAACAAATTTTTTCTTTTTAATTCAAATTTAAATTTTCATAAGAACAGGCCTTCAGCAGTTAACACTGTGCCACAGATCAATGCCTAAGAGAATCACATGCATGATGTGCTACCTCAGATCATACCTGGAAAGCGACCACACAACTGGAGCTGCAGAAGCTGTATATAGTTCCATTTGACATGGCTAGGTGATACTGAGGGATTGCTGAGGTTTTACAACTATGACACGAAACCTGGACACCTTGATGACAAAAAATAAAAAACAATGATTAAGTTATACCAATGAACAAACAATACAAAAATGTATTGGGAGAATGAAAAAATTAAATAATAATATACCAAAAAAATCAAGGAACTTTACAAAAATCTGAAATCTAACTACAACTAACCTCTATTAAGTCCCACTTAGCCAAAAACTAACTTGGAAATTTTAAGTGTTTTTTCTTTCTTCTCACATATGAAACTATAAAATACTGTATATATTGCAACCAAGAAAATCAGTGAAAACCTATTTTCACATACAAGTCAGTTATTTAAAAGTCAATCTTGGGTCTTTATTTAACTAACGAGATAAATTTAGCTTGTAACAAAATCAAAGAAAAGCAGTTACATTTTTCTTCAATAGTTATTAAATATATAAATTTATCAAATTTAAACATTACCTGAAGAAGTAACAGTCTTAACTCTGTAAGCAGATAAGCAATTAATAGAGCAGAAAAGCTCTGTTTTTCCTGAATCATTTGTAGTCTCAATCATTTCAGCTGAGGGCCTCAATGACTTCCCCAGGGCATATGGAGGAATCTGGGCTGAATTCTATTAAAATAAAAGAACATTAGATACCTAGTACAAGCATACATATTTACATATTGTTCAAAAAACTAAAAAGAAAAGCTACCTACAACCACAGCTCTTGGTTGAAATATTTGAGCATGATGATGAAACCACACTATTGGGAGGTGGGAAAGTAAGTTCTTCCAGACAGTAATAAAATAGAAACTGAAGAAATTAGTAACTACTCAGATAGAGATCTTAGCAAACAAAACACATTAATTCAAACATAAGTAATGAATTAGGTAATCATTACATACTTTTTCATCACCAATAATCAGAGAAGACCAGCGAATCCATGAACCAAAGGGCCATTCTCGGTATAGTCTTGTACATCAATCTAGAAGAGTCTACCACCTTTAAGGTTACTTAATTTGTGAGATTCTTCAGCAGGAGATAGAAATGATACTTAATGTATATTATTAGAGATCCTACAGAACGATCTATTTTTCAAGCTGAGTTTCATAATAAAATCTGCTCATAAGTTTATTCATGTTTTAAGAAATAATAAAAATAGCTACCATTTACATAACCAATACTATAACTTACTAAATGCGTATCATGAGCCAGGCCCCAGGCTAAGCAATTGATATATAGTGTGTCACAGAATCCTTTTAACGACAGAGTGAAGTGCTCTCAAAAATTACATTAACAAAAAGTTCAAATTAACTTTAATTAAATTAACAGATGAGCAGAAGAAGTAGGAAATTAAACTCATTTCATCAGGCTCCAAAGTTCAGGCTCCTAACCACTACACTACCCTGTCAGTGACACATTATAAGGTCTCTCAATATGAAAGGAAATCGTAGGAAAATATAAATTTTGAGGTTTCATGACATAATCTTCCTAGTAAAAAGACAGAGCACAATACTAGTAACAAAATTAGAAATGGAACTCATTTTGGGATCATATATAAAATAACATGGATTCTTTTCCTGTGAAAGTAGTAACCAGACTGCCAAAAATGGCAATTCTTAAAAAAAGAGATTATTTTCAGTGATGAATGTCCATATGTCCATTACCAACTGCTCAGAGGAAGTAACAAATCAAACTTGCTAACTGAAAAAAACGTTTAATTATCATTTACAAGATACATCTTTACATCTTTAAGAAAAACTTTTTAAAACCACAAATCAGTAATAATTAAATTGACACAAGGTGATATATTTAGTAACAAGCTTACTGCATTTATTCATTACAATAAATAAAATTACTTGAAGTATTCTCATAAGACAGTGTTGACCAAATAATTACAATTCATTCCCAAACACATTTTAAAATGAAAAAGACAAGCTTTGTTTAGATTCACTGATTTTATCATCTTAACTCTTGCTTATGGCTTATTTATAATATGGTATTCTTGCTATCAATACATCACAAAATATTTCATGCTCAAAGAAAATCATGAAATTACATTTGAGGCCGGGACGTGGTTACTCACGCCTGTAATCCCAGCATTTTGGGAGGCTGAGGTGGGTGGATGGCTTGAGCTCAGGAGTTCAAGACCGGCCTGAGCAACATGGCAAAACCCCATCTTAACTAAAAAAAAAAAAAAAGAAAAGAAATCTCATTTGTGAATTCTTAGCTATGAAGGGAGCCTTTAAAAAGGGACTTATTTTACCTATATCAACTTACCATCACAATCATCCCTCGCACCATCAGAATATATCTCATTTTCTAGAAGGGAAATCACATATCAGGATGGACTAATGGAAGGAACTCACTCTCATTTAGTTCATCCCTGTGCAGCCAAATCAGAAGGAGTGGGCCTAACTACATGCAACAAATAGATATTCATACCTGCTTGTATGCCGTGACACTTGTTGAACTAAAAACCTTCTGGGATTGGCAAGGACCAGAGCTACTATAGCAATAGCTCCCACAGTTCTCACAACAGTTCATGGTGAGGTTGTTTGTAGAGTGAAATTTTGAAAAACAGGCATCACTACAAAGACCATGTACCACATTTTGATATTTAACTTCAAATCGAGTCTAGGAAATAAACACACACACACATACACAAAATAAGCAGAGCCAGCTAAAAAAAATCTCTTTGAGCAGAATCCCAATAAAAGTAAAATGTAACTTACATCAGCATTCTTCTGACACATACTGCACTTAGTTGAAATGCTTTTGGTATATATGGTAACAACAGGTTTTTTCTTTAGCTCATAAGACGACAAGCATGATTGGCTGCAGAAATCTTTGCTAGGAGAGGAATTCTCAAAGCGAGTTGTGATCACATCCTTAGGATTTAAAATGTCTCTAAAAATAAATAACAAAGGTAAAAATGAAATGTATTCTTCACAATTGTAACTTCCTCCTCTTTGTGAGCTGAAATAACACTTACTAAGGGCAAGTATTGTATGGTAGAAAAAGGATAAGGTGTCTGCAAAGCTTGGTTTGATGATGAGTTCTGCTATTTATCAGGTGAGTGACAATGAATGATGTAATTACTATCTCAATTTCCTCATGTATAAAATGGGGTTTATAATACCTAATTCATAAATTTGTCAAGAGCGAATTCTATTTAAAATATAACCAGCCAGGGCCGGGCATGGTGGCTCACGCTTGTAATCCCAGCACTTTGGGAGGCCGAGGTGGGCGGATCATGAGGTCAGGAGTTCAAGACCAGCCTGGCCAACACAGTGAAACCCCGTCTCTACTAAAAATACAAAAGTTAGCTGGGTGTGGTAGTGTGTGCCTGTAATCCCAGCTACTCGGGAGGCTGAGGCAGGAGAATCGCCTGAACCCGGGAGGCGGAGGTTGCAGTGAGCCGAGATTGTGCCACTGCACTCCAGCCTGGGCAACAAAGCTAGACATCATCTCAAAAAAAAAAAAAAAAAAAAAAAAAATATATATATATATATATATACACACACACACACACAGCCAGCCAGATGCTGAAAACAAAAATAGGAAGGCTTCCAGCCCCAACCAAGTTTCATCTGCTGTAGCCAATGGGACCAGTCAGTGTCCATCCCACAACTCCAGACCACAAGACACTGGTTCTCTTACTAGCCAGAGGCTGCCCAAAGTAGAACTGAAACGAGACAATAAATGAATTTTTTGTGTGTGTGTGAGACAGAGTCTCACTCTGCTGCCCAGGCTGGAGTGCAGTGGCACGATCTTGGCTCACTACATCCTCCACCTCCTGGGTTCAAGCGATTCTCCTGTCTTAGCCTCCCGCCCGAGTAGCTGGGACACAGGCCCATGCCACCATGCCAGGCTAATTTTTGTATTTTTAGTAGAGACAGGGTTTCGTCATATTGGCCAGGCTGGTCTCAAACTCCTGACCTCGTGATCCGCCTGCCTCGGCCTCCCAAAGTGTTGGGATTACAGGCACAAGCCACCGCGTCCAGCCAAGACAATAAACGAAATGTTTAAAAGTTGAAAGTGCAAGATTTTGAGAAACAAATGAGCTACCAGAATACAAAAAATAAGCATGATATATAATATTTAGCTATAACTGAGAAAATCAAAGAAACATATGACAAAAGGGCTGTTAAGGCTTTGTATCAGAGGACAGATGGAAACAGGAACGAGATAGGAAGAACAAAAATAATTGAGTGGTTCTGTGAGATTCCTAGAGCCAATTTGTAAAAGCTAATTATTGCAATAACCACAAATAGCAATACCCTGGTAAAACAGAGGCTAAGTATTGCCATTCTTCTGACAAGTATAAAAACTAAAGGAAATAGTCACTAATTATATAAACACTAGTGCAGGCCACAAAGTAAATGGCAAAGTATATAATAATGGCTATAATATATACTACAATAAGTGTGTTGAGTAATTACTATGCACCAAGCATTATTCTCTTTACTCAAATTATCCAATTTAAATACCACAAAAATGACAGAGTGCAGTGGCTTACCCACATAATCCTAGCACTTTGGGAGGCCAAGGCAGAAGGATTGCTTGAGCCCGGGGAGTTCAAAGCTCCAATGAGCCATGATCATGCCACTGCACTCCAGCCTGGGCAACACAGCAAGACCCAATCTCTACAAAAAATTTTTTTTAATTAGCAGGGCATACTGGCTCATGCCCATGGTCTCAGTTACTCAGGATGCTGAGCTGGGAGGACTGCTTGAACCCAGGAAGCAGAGGCTGTGGTGAGGTGGGATCACACAACCACACTCCAGCCTGGGTGACAGAGTGAGACCCTGTTTCAAAAAAAAAAAAAAATCCCCAAACTACTATGAAGTTAGGTATTACTGCAACTGCCACTTTACAGATGAGGAAACTGAATCAGAGGTTAAACAGCTTGTCAAAATCATATTGCTAGTAGGCAGTAAAGCTGAAATACAAATCCAGGTAGTCTGACTCTAGTCTATGGAATTAATTATTCCACTATAGTGCCTCCCATCTAGCACCTTTATTATACAGGTGTATTCAATGGTAAACCATGAGAAAATAACAACAATGAAAATTATTTTAATTATTTAAAACTCAACTGTAAAAATACGACAGCAAATCTTGGAAACCAAAAGAATATGCTTATAATATACAGATGAAGTATTAATTTTGAAAAGTGATTTTTCTACTGAAAACAGAGCAATTAAGAGTTTCACTTAATAAGGTGAATCTGCCAGTGGCATAATAAGTAAAAAAATAGTAAGTAAAAATACGTAAATCAAAGAGAGTAATTTTATAATGAAAATCTGTGCACATAAATTATAAATGTACTCTGAACTTTACACACTCAAATGAGTGTTATACCATAACATTTACCTTAGAAAAACCACACCTCTTCCAACAATAACATAGCTCAAACGTTTTTCTAATTTTTTAAGACAAAACTTAAGATAAACCTTTAGACTATTTTTTAACTTTTAATTTTATAAATCTCATGTTTTAACAGTATGACTCAATTTAATTAGCTACTATATTAGCCTGATTAAGGTATCAAGCGCCTTTGAAAATTTGTAACAATCAGGCCGGGCGCGGTGGCTCAAGCCTGTAATCCCAGCACTTTGGGAGGCCGAGACGGGCGGATCACGAGGTCAGGAGATCGAGACCATCCTGGGTAACACAGTGAAACCCCGTCTCTACTAAAAATACAAAAACTTAGCCGGGCGAGGTGGCAGGCGCCTGTAGTCCCAGCTACTCGGGAGGCTGAGGCAGGAGAATGGCGTGAACCCGGGAGGCGGAGCTTGCAGTGAGCTGAGATCCGGCCACTGCACTCCAGCCTGGGTGACAGAGCGAGACGGATCATGAGGTCAGGAGATCGAGACCATCCTGGCTAACACCGTGAAACCCCGTCTCTACTAAAAATACAAAAAACTAGCCGGGCGAGGTGGCGGGCGCCTGTAGTCCCAGCTACTCCGGAGGCTGAGGCAGGAGATTGGCGTAAACCCGGGAGGCGGAGCTTGCAGTGAGCTGAGATCCGGCCACTGCACTCCAGCCCGGGCTACAGAGCAAGACTCCGTCTCAAAAAAAAAAAAAGAAAGAAAGAAAATTTGTAACAATCAAATGCATGCGGAAAAGATAAGAATCTGTCTCCTAATCTTATGCTAAAAAGTCACTGACGGGGTGACTACTTTTAAGAAAACAATAGGCATTTGGATGTATAAGTTGTGTTATGTTCTTTAAATAAATAAAATTATTTAATTTTATTTTGATATTTGGTATGTTGAAACAATATCTAAAAATAGAAAACTAAGTTTACTTCTTCAGATTAGTTTCATGAGAACGACATAAAAGTGTTAATTAGAAGGGTATTTTGCAACAAACTAATTTAGAGTATATAAATATTTTAAAATTCCTCTCTCCTGGCCAGGTATGATGGCTCATGCCAATAGTCCCAGCACTTTGGGAGGCTGAGGCAGGCTAATTGCTTGAGCCCAGGAGTTTGAGAACAGCCTGGGCAACATAGCAAAACCATCTCTACAAAAAATATAAAAATTAGCCGGGCATGGTGGTGTGTGCCTGTGGTCCCAGCTACTTGAAAGGCTGAGGTGGGAGGATCATCTGAGCCCAGGGAGTTCAAGGCTGCAGTGAGCAGTGATCATGCCACTGCACTCCAGCATGGCCAACAAAGAAAAAAAACATCCTCTCTCCTGTTTAGCTGGAAATTTCCATATAGCAGGATCTACTTTTAGATAGTTTAGGTCAAGACACAAAGCAGATAAACATGGCCAAAGACAAAATAGGGGCCTACAAATGATATGTTAAGTATACAAAGTAATATGTATTATATATACATATATTTATTAAATTTAATATATTTATCATGTTAACTATAAACAGTAACACATGATATAATTTTTATTATCAATAACAGGATTCCGTTTATTAAGTACTTGGTGCGCTAGGCCATGTGCTAACACTGTCTCATTAAAATCCTAGGAAGCAACTATTATTTACTGATGAGAAATGGAGGCTTAGAAAGTTAAATATCTAGTCCGAAGTCACAGAGATAAATGATAGAGCCACAGTTTAAAAGCAAGCTCTTACCATTTTTTGCCCATAGTGACTACTAACAACACACTGTATTCCTCAAATTACACTACCACAGTAATAGGTAAAACATGCCAAATCCTTCAAATGTACTAAGGCAGGGAAAGATTTATGTGACTTTGTTGCTGTATTTTCTTCTCTCTGCATCTAAGCATTATTGTAAAGCAACAATGACCCCACAAGGACATTAGAAATAAACTCATTTTTCTGACCATGTGGAGTTTTTACTTTTTAAAGAATTAAATAGCTTTCATATACTATTAAAAGAGTGAAATTATTTTATGCTATACCAAATAACTTTCAAGATAACTGTTAAATAAATTTAAATGGTGGGTGTCTACAATTACAGGATAGTCCTGCAATTCCCACATGTCATTTGTTATTTCTTTCCATAGTAAAATCTAAAGTGACAGAAAACTGGTTTAATCATCATTCTAACACCACGTCACTTATTTAATGTTGCAAAACTTTAAAATTGGCTAATTCTTCCATTAGCTAAAAAGTTATTTCTACGGATACATGCTAAAGAGATTTAAAGTATCAACAGCATGTTTGAACTAAACTATATACACACTAAAAAAAGGTACAGTAAAAAGGGATGTTAAGAATTTTATACTTCGAGCAGTTTGTGCAGGTTTTCTTGGGAGGAGGTGGCAGGCAGGCAGGTGAAGAATGTCTGGTGATGCATCGTGTGGAGCAGAAGAGCTGAGTAGATCCTGTCTTATGATATGCAGTTTGGCCCTTATAAAGCATTTTTTTACAACCAGAACAAAAAACCTTAATAGCAACAGCTGGAACTGAAGGAAGCAATACACTTGGGCCAGATGATGTAAAAGAAAGCTGAAAGCCTGGGTTCAACTGCTGGGCTATCAAAACAAAATAAAAAAAAGTTTTAGTATCAATACTAATGCATATACAGTCTCAGTCTCTCTTTCTCCCTCTCTCTCTCTCTCTTTCTTTTTCTGAGACAGGGTCTCACTGTCACCCCGGCTGGAAGGCAGTGGTGCAATCATAGCTCACTGAAGCCTCAAACTCCCAGGATTAACTAATCCTGCCGCCTCAGCCTCTTGAGTAGCTGGGACTACAGGCACACGCCACCACACCCAGCTAATTTTTTTTTAATTTTTAGCAGAGATAAGGTCTCACTATGTTGCCCAGACTGGTCTCAAACTCTTGAGCAAAAGCCATCCACCTGCCTCAGTCTCCCAAGTTGCTGAGATTACAGGTGTTAGCCACCACACCCGGCCCAGTCTCTCTTTTTTAGGACAAATTCCCTATCTTGAAATCCAGTATCAATGAGGCAATAAGTATCAATGAGGCAATAAGCACTCCAAAACTGAGGTTTCAATTTTTTTTTTACCATGACTCAAAGTAGGAAATACATTTAATATTATAACCCAGTTCTCATATACATATGTTTGTAAATGTGGGGATGTGTGTTCACTTCAATCACTGAAACAGAAATTTTATGAAACAATATGTTTCCTTACTATACATATCATATTCTGATATAATCTTATTCCATTTTATTTTTTAAAACGCTGCTGAAAACCAGCTACTCACAGTTTGAAAAACCACAGCTCTAAAGAAAGAGAAAGACATACATGAAAAGATGCTTTCTCTCAATTTTACAAGTCAGAATAAGCAAATACTAATTGTAATTAACTTACACAGTTCCATTTCTTACCAAGAGGTCTCTCATTAACTGAAAACACACCACTAATTTTCAATTCACTTTCTTGAATTTTTGGCTGTTGGGCACTTCCATACTCCTTTAAAAAAGAAAAGAAAAGAAAAAAGAGCAATGAATACAGTGTATGTAAGTAAACTAGAAATTCAAGCAAAAAAAAAAATTATTCTATCCTATTCATCTTTTTTTTTTTTTTTTTTTTTGAGATGGAGTCTTGCTCTGTCACCCAGGCTGGTGTGCAGTGGCACAATCTTGGCTCACTGCAACCTCTGCCTCCCAGATTCAAGTGATTCTTCTGCCTCAGCTGCCCAAGTAGCTGGGACTACAGGTATGCGCCACCATACCCAGCTATTTTTTGTATTTTTAGTAGAGATAGGGTTTCACCATATTGGCCAGGCTGGTCTCAAACTCCTGACCTCGTGATCCACACACCTCAGCCTCCCAAAGTTCTGGAACTACAGGCATGAGTCACCACACCCGGCCCTATTAATCTCTTAAACAGTCTAATCATAAATACCTTCACAAACACCTCAAAAGTCAAAATTTACAAGTTATTAGACTAGATTTAATCTTTACGAAGACAATCTTTCAGAATTAGAGAATCTTTTAAAATACTTTTATCTACTTTTCAAATGTAATTTTGATATATGGGAGTAATACATAATTATTCCAAATGCTGAGCACTATCTATTTTTTAGATAGTGTGTTTAAAAGGGAGCAATAAATAATTTTTTTTTTTTTTTTTTGAGATGGAGTCTCTTCTGTCACCCAGGAATGCAATGGCGCGATCTTGGCTTACTGTAACCTCCACCACCTGGGTTCAAGCGACTCTCCTGCCTCAGCCACCCAAGTAGCTGGGACTACAGGCTTGCGCTACCACACCCGGCGAATTTTTGTGTTTTTTCCAATAGAGACGGGGTTTTGCTATGTTAGCCAGGCTGGTCTCAAACTCCTGACCTCAGGTGATCTGCCCACCTTGGCCTGCCAAAGTGCTGGGATTACAGGTGTGAGCCACCGCACCCGGCAAAAAGGAGCAATCAATGAAATTAAATGTGGCTGAGCGTGCTGGCTCACACCTATAGTCCCAGCTACCAGGAAGGCTGAGGCAGGAGAATCACTTTTTTTTTTTTAGATGGAATCTTTCTCTGTTGCCCAGGCTGGAGTGCAGTGGATTGCTTGAACCCGGGAGGAGAGGCTGCAGTAAGCTGAGATTGTGCCACTGCACTCCAGCCTGGGCAACAGAGAGAGCCTCTGCCTCAAAAAAAAAAAAAAAAGAAAAATTAAATCTGAATCATTTAGAGTTTGGATTTCAATCATTTTAGACTTACAAGCTGTCTTTTCTGTTAATGACAGAAAAGATACAAGAGTGTCAATGCAATCTGCTCATTATACATAAAATCATCACAGACAGAATCCTATTTATTCTTACTACATTCTTTAAAACGTTTTAAAACAAAATGTAATCATGAAACATTTTAAAAATGTAAATGCCTATTTTGAATGGTTCTTTATTCTGAAATTATAACCATCCTTTTTTTAATGTTAAAATACCCTTACATATTTCAAAACAGAAAGTTTTTTAAAAAAGTCTTACTTTTCTGAATCACTGATGGTAATAAATGGCAGTTGTATTTTTAATCTCCCCACATGTAGCAAAATGAATGAGTAGCTATGTTAGTTCCAAAGTTACTTTAGAAATTTCTTCAGACTATTAAATGCCAAAAACTAGGAACCAGTGCATTAATTCAACACTTCCCATGATATGTATTGAGCACCCAAAGAGGTGCTCTCTATAAGATATCCCTTCTTTATAGATGAGGAAAGTGAAGCTAAGAGATGTTCAGCAACTTGCCCAAGGTCACAAAGAGACTACGTGCACAGATGGGAATCAAACTCAGTCTCTCTGTTCTTTTTTTTTTTCTTTCTTCTTCTTCTTTCTGAGATGGAGTCTCGCTCTGTTGCCCAGGCTGGAGTGCAATGGCGCCATCTCAGCTCACTGCAACCTCTGCCTCCCGGGTTCAAGCAATCCTCAGCCTCCCGAGTAGCTGGTATTACAGGCATCCACCACTATGCCCAACTAATTTTTGTATTTTTAGTAGAGACAGAGTTTCACCATGTTGGTCAGGCTGGTCTTGAACTCCTGACCTCAGGTGACCCGCCCACCTCCACCTCCCAAAGTGTTGGGACTACAGGCATGAGCCACCGCACCCAGCCAGTCTCTCTGTTCTAAAACCCAACATAGCACCGTCATACATGTGAAAATATAAAGTAATTACTACAATGAATTCAAACTCTGGCCCAATTGAAATAAAGTTCCCCCGTTGTAGTAATCTCTCCCATCTCCTTTCTCTCACAGCACTAAATCATTTCATTACTTATTTGGATAATTTGAATAATGCCTAACATTCATCCTTCCCCCTACACACACATTAGACTGAAAAGATCACATCCATTATGGACAATATCTGTTTTTTTCAACCCTGTATACCCAACCGCCCAACACAGTCAACATAACAGTAATGACTATGGGTTCTAACAGCAGACAGAAACATATGATCTTGGCTCCTAAACAAGCTATTTAATCTTTCTTAGTTTCAATTTATCTGTAAAATAAAGATAATATTACCTACCCATAGGGCCAATGGGGAGGGAGGGGGCAAATGACTTAATATAAATAAAGTACACAGCATGGCATCTTAGTTAGTCAAAGTCAAAAGTAAGCATGATACGAACACAAAATGCTAGTTCTTTTTTTTCTTCTTTTGAGATGGAGTTTTGCTCTTCTTGCCCAGGCTGGAGTGCAATGGCGTGATCTCGGCTCACCACAACCTCCGCCTCCAGGGTTCAAGTGATTCTCCTCCCTCAGCCTCCCGAGTAGCTGGGATTACAGGCATGCGCCACCACGCCCGGCTAATTTTGTAGTTTTAGTAGAGACAGGGTTTCTCCATGTTGGTCAGGCTGGTCTCGAACTCCTGACCTCAGGTGATCTGCCTGCCTTGGCCTCCCAGAGTGCTGGGAGTACAGGCGTGAGCCACTGCACCCAGCCAAAGTGCTAGTTCTCATACTTATTATTTTAATAACTGTGGCATTTAATAAATACTTGCTAAATGAAGGAATGTAAGTCTATTCAATCCAAAGTGCATGTTCTTAAACATTATACTTAAATAACAATATTTACTGACACTTGCAAAATGAAGAGGATGTTAAAAGTATTATATACCTCTTCAAATTACCAAAACAAGTGTTTAAGATTCAACAAAAAAAATATATATATATATATTTTTTTGAGACGGAGTCTCACTCTGTCACCCAGGCTGGAGTGCAGTGGTGCAGTCTCGGCTCACTACAAGCTCTGCCTCCCAGGTTCACGCCATTCTCCTGCCTCAGCCTCCTGAGTAGCTGGGACTACAGGCGCACGCCACCACACCTGGCTAATTTTTTTGTATTTTTAGTAGAGATGGGGTTTCACCATGTTAGCCAGGATGGTCTTTATCTCCTGACCTCGTGATCCGCCCGCCTTGGCCTCCCAAAGTGCTAGGATTACAGGCGTGAGCCATAATGCCTGGCCAGATTCAATAAAAATTACTTTGCCTTATCAACTCAATTTCTAAAATTTTTCTGATATTTCTGTTATATTTCCCTGACTGGTTTCTTTTACCTCAGAAAGTAACTTTTCTAAACCTTCATAGCTCACAGGTCCAAACTCTACATCTTTCCTGCTCATTGATGTTTCAATTTCACCAGGTAAAAAGAAGTAAGTAAGAACTCCCTCAAAATCCCTCAACCCCCTCCACCTTACCTACAAACCGCTCAGCAAACTGTCCTACTATCTTACAGGAAAAGGAAACCTTCTTTTTAGCTATAGCTGAAATAATGCTATTTTAGAATAAGTGTGTTCCAAGTATTGCATGCAATACTCTTATAATAAAAATTACCATTGTTTATTTGACAGTAAAATTTAACCTGGCATCCTGTATTTTATCTGGAAGCCCTACATCTCCAAGTAGATAACTTTTCAATCTCCAAATCCCAGATTTTTATGTGCAAATGCCTCCTTGTGCAATTTACCACTTGAATATCCCACAAGCCCTTTAAACACAACAGACCCCAAACTGCACTTAGTACTTCCTCCAAAATCCTGTTCTAACCCCTCAGTAAATGGTATCACCATAAACCCCAAAACCTGTAAGTATCCTTGGACTCCTCTTTGACCTTCACACCTCATAAACAATCTCTAAATTTGATCAATCCTACCTAACCATTTTTAAATCTATTCTCTTTTCCCACTTTATTATCAATACTCAACTATTAAACACACCACATTATCTCACCCCTCCATGACTTGGCTATTTTCTCTGCTATATTTTCTCTGTCTGAAACTTTTAGTCAGTTGTTATGATTCAATTGCTACCTGCTCTGTGAAGCCTTACTCTCCCTCTCAAATAGATTTAGGGCTCCTTCCCCTATGCTCCCAATGCACCTCACACAATTTTAAAGCAATTACATAAGACTGTGATTTTGTATTTTTTTTTTTTTTAGATGGAATCTTTCTCTGTTGCCCAGGTTGGAGTGCAGTAGAGCAATCTCTGTTCACTGCAGCCTCCACCTCCTGGGTTCAAGTGATTCTCCTGCCTCAGCCTCCCAAGTAACTGAGCTCACAGGCACGTACCACCAGGACTGGCTAATTTTTTTGTATTTTTAGTAGAGATGGGGTTTCACCATGTTGGCCAGGCTGGTCTTGAACTCCTGACCTCAAGTGAGCCACCCACCTCGGCCTCCCAAAGTGCTGGGATTACAGGTATGAGCCACCATGCCTGGCCTTGATTTTGAATTTGTACAAAAGGCGGCACAGGCCAGGCGCAGTGGCTCACACCGGTAATCCCAGCACTTTGGGAGGTTGAGGCAGGCAGAGTTCAAGACCAGCCGGCCAACATGGTGAAACCCCGTCTCTATTAAAAATACAAAAATTAGCCAGGTGTGGTGGTGGGCGCCTGTAATCCCAGCTACTTGGCAGGCTGAGGCAGGAGAACTGCATGAGCCCAGGAGGTGGAGGTTACAGTGACCCGAGATCGCACCACTGCA